CCCGGTCGTGGTTTTTGCCTTGCCAGTCCCTTTAAAATAAAATAACAGACGGGATTTATCGTATCGAAAATAAAAAATAGACCTTAAATCCCTCGATTCCACCTCCCCCCATAAAATCAGTTTCCCCGGCCACTAGGCCACCCCCCCCCCCTGAAAATTTCAAGGCCTCCAGTTCCGCAACAATGCACATGACGGGTCGGAAAATTGAACCTCTCTACCTCCCGCGGATGGGTCTGGGAATTGGGCAGTGTGGAAACTGCATTAGAGGAGGGGATGGGCAATTGGACCCTACACCCCTCTCGCAACACCCATACACAGTACGCTACTGTCCACACAGAACGATGGGTTAGTGTAGCGACGGGGGGCTATTACCGGTCCTCTCACCTTCAGCCTACTACCATAACAAAGGGTCACTCAAGCGGAAGTAAGTCACCGATTGCCCCTGGGGGTATACTAGAAATTATGGAGAAGCCGGTTTTTTTGGGGAGGGATGGTTGAGGTGGAAATTGAAAATATCCTCGAAAATTTCTTAGTATTTTTCTATGCTTTTCAATCGTGATTCTTTATAAAATAGAGCTACCGTTACCTTCAATAACGTTTAGATACTTGTAAAAATCTAAGATTTCGATTCCCAATTCATTGAATTTCTAAAGAAACTTTTGAAATTTTGAGTAATTAAAACGTTATGTTTACAACGTTTTAACGATAACTGCTGTAATTTTTCGGTAGTTTGTTCTAAAATCGAAAGTTATTGGAAAGTAGGGTTTTCGAAAACGCTATAGATATGTATCTTTCGAAAACTACAACTTTTGAATGTCATTTGTACCATTATGTAAATACTAAATAAGTTTCGATCCGAATAAGGTAAATTTCGATACTTTTAATGCGCATTTCAACAAAAATCAGTCAATAGCGGCTTAGTCGCCTTAAATATATCATACAACAACTTACAAAACCTGAAATAAGGCAAAAGCCTCGCTAAACTTACGCGATCGGCGAGGAAACAGCCCGGTTCGGCCGTCCCTCTCGTAGCGTCCAGTTCCGCACCTTTGCGTTGTTTTTCAGGTGGCTAAAATAAAATTTTAGCTATTTTTGTGTATACTCTACCTCAAAATAAGCTTGGCCTTGCCCAGCTGCAGCTCATCGGAGAGGTTCTCCCACTTAAAGTACCGCATCGTTGCCTCGACGACCAGGCGGATCTGGAAGGGAAAATTGGGATCGGAAAATTCTATTAATCTGGTATTTTATAGATGGTTTTTAGTACAGATTTTAACGCTATTAAATCTATGGAAATATTTATTTTTATACCTTTGGCAATTGCCGGCTCAACAAATGGTCGGCCGTCTCGCCGTGGAAAGTGCGGAGGGAGATCTGCACATTTCGGAGCTCGTCGTCGGTAACGGATTCGCGCAGGATTTGCCAGGCGAATACCTGAAAAAATTTTAAAATCAATGCTTAACACCTTTATATAAGCTTCGAATCCACTAAATTTATTTTTCACAAGATTAAAATTAAAAAAAAATAATTTTTTCCACTGTTTGTCGGGTCCCTGACTCCTAACTTTTCCCGATTGTTCTAACGTATAGTTAGCTTAGCTATTTACCACCGTCCGCCGCCATGAGTTTTCCCTGGGAAAATTGGCTATGGCTAAGGCGACCCCCCGAAAATATTTGTATAGACCGGAACGAGCACACGAGAGGAGGCCCAAGTCAAACGGCCGGCCGGGGAACATCGGATCGGGGGTGAGGGCCCCCCGGAAACAAATTGCCATTGTGGAAAAACAGACAGACCGACGGACAGGCAGACAGACAGACAGACACGGGTCGAAAGTCAAATAGAGCCGCGTGGCAAAATAAGGGCCACAAAAACGGATTGCGGAACGATTTAGAGACAAAACCACGTGGCATTGAATGGGTTACGGTACGGAAATCGGCAGGATTTTCGTATACTTTAATGAGAAAAATAATACAAACATATTCGAATAGCTTGTAAGGGTTTTTTTATCAAGTTAGTTTTAGAAATCAGTTTTTCAGGTTTCGAGAATGCAAATAAAAATCTACTTTTTCCGGAAAATACTAGATCTTACTCGTAAAAGACGTTAAAAATGTAGTTTTTCAACAGCTACCATTTTCCCCCAAAAACCGGTCTAGTTTTCATGCCCCGGGGGCTACTTGTCAAATGTACCGATCACAAATATATGTGTAACGGTTCCAAGAAGCGGAACGGCCGCCCTACCGTTTTTGGGGTGTCATTTGGAGCATTGCGTTGACTACCAGGCATTATTATTTACGAAATCTTGGCCTACAAAGTTGTCAGGATACCTCATGTCATTTGGAGCTTGACGTTTTGAGTGATTGTTCGGTGACGTTCCCCTTTACGTTTCTCAAAAAAAAACTCGAGAAACGGAGAGTCTTTAAGGTTAATGTCTTATTTCTTTAATAAACGGTTTAATATGGTATGGAAATTCTCTAATTTTTTTTTGAATAGGACACTTCTCAGAATTAACACAAACTAAACGAGATATTTCTATCCTATCCTATAAGCGAGAAAAGTATGTGTGTTTTCTGTACGGCCGTTTTCTCGGCCGTCAGGCCGCGTTTCGAGCTGATTTTTGGCATGTAGGTGGGAAATGTCACTCATAAAAAACGGTTTTTCGGATTTTTCGAAATTCTTTGATTTAACGATTTTACAAGCAAAAATGTGAAAAATCCTTCACATTTTTGGGTACGCACGTTGTCCGGAACTTTTCTCGGCCCCTAGAGGGAATTGGGATCTCATTTTTGGAGGGTAGGTGGAAAAAGTGATTCCCCAGATACAATTTTTCGGATTTTACAAAAATCTTTAAAATAAAGTTTTTATGTGTATTTTTCTGAAAGGTCCTTAATAAATCGCGGAATGGGCCGTGGTGTCCAGGCCATAACTCGACGCCCTGATGGAATTCCGGGCTGAAAATTGGATCGTTTATGCAATCAAGGGTGGGGATCATGCGCATCTTATTATCTTTGCACATTTTCCACAGATTCAAACTTAAAAATAGAATTTTGTAAAGTGACCAGAAGGCCTCCCTCTGGGATCCTTGGTCACCCTTATCTTTTGCCCCCGCTTCCCCAGGACAGAACAGGCCTGTCCCGCCGCCTCCTCCCATGTCCTCCTTGGTGTAGTGGATTAGCACTCGGCCTACCACGCGCAGGGTCGTGAGTTCGGATCCTGGAGGAATTTCGTTTTTTTTTTGCTTGTTGGTGGTTCGGCAACAAAACATATTTCTAGGGTCTCGGTGTGCAAGATTTAGGTCTGGCTCTCGCTCTAGCGCCGCAGGCCAAAGAAAAGGCCCCTGGCTCGGGCTCTCGCGCCGCAGGCCAAACAAAAGGTTCTTGGCTCGGGCTCTCGCGCCGCAGGCCAGATCCTGGAGAAAAACTAGTAGCTAGCGCCGCAGGCTCAACGATTCTAGCGCAACGCTGGCTCTGGCGCCGCAGGCCAAAGAATGGGTCCTTGGCTCAGGTTCTAGCGCCGCAGGCTAAAAAAAGAGGGTATTCAGATTCATGGTTCCTGGACGGGGTCCAGTGGAAAATGGCCGCGAAGCGGTCTTTTTTTCACTGGTTCCTCTATTTCCGTCAAACCAGGTGCGTTTTGCTACGACCTCAAGACATACCGTAGCCCTTCCCATACGCAACAATCCCCAATCCCACCCTAGCTAGCCAACGTTGCTATTTTCGCCCCATTCGCCGTCAAATTCCGGAAGGCCCCCCTTTTTCCGTTTTCCATCCAATAACGTCCCGCTCAACAGGAAGACACATACACACACCCGGTCATTTCCCCGGTTCAAGGTTTTTCAGGCGATACGACGATTTCCCTCTTGCTCTGCCTCTCTCTGGCTCCCCCCCCTCTCTCTCTCTCTTGCTTTCTTTCTTCAGCTACCGTATAGCCGTTTGCACTTTTTGTTATCGGGTCTGGACCGTCCGAGGAGTGGTTGGGGGATGGGGGGAGTGGATAACGGTTGGTTGCGCGGTGTGGTCGAGAGAGTGTGAGAAAGAGAGAGAGGGAGAGAGAGAACGAGAGAGAGACGGAACTGGCCGAAACTATGCCCCCTTTTGGCTACCGTAACTCCCCATAAGATCCCGCTGATCACTGGCACACTTCGAGGGGCTGGTTGACCAATCGGCTCGAGAGGGTAGGTAGGGCTGGTGGTGGATGTCAAAAATGTTTTATACTTTCTGGCATGATGTGGCTGTGTGTAGTACAGCGGCGTAGTGGAATGAAATCGGGAAAATTGAAGTATCGAGTAAAAAACAGAAAAACATGAAACCAGGTGCTTCAACTAAAATATCTGGGCTCAAAATCGATCACTCAATCACTTTCCAGACCCTTTAATGGAATTTTGACGTTCCGAATTGAATTGAAGGCTTTGTGGCATCTTTTTAACCAATTGTTGCGCAAATAAAATGTTACAAATTGTTTTCGACTAACAAGGAGACGTTTTTGAGTGTCGTCGGGACTTTGGCACGGGACCAAGCTTATCTTGTGCAGAATTTTACGCTGATTCCGAATATGGTAACCGTTTTTGCGGAATAGCCATTTCTCGAAAGTTATCGACGGTTTAAACCTCAAAACAGCCCAAAATCGGCTACTTTCAATAGTCATAAAAGGCTTCCGGAATAGGTTTTAGACAAAATTAGATAGTACATATTGTTCAGAAAAAAATTCTCTATAAAATGTACCATCTTTTCCAAAATCATTGAAAAGTTGGAAAAATTTGATAAATTGGGAGGTCCATAATTTTACAAAAATTTTCAAAATTCCAGCATTTTTGAGTTAAGTAGTTTATTTTATAGAGAATTTTTTTCTGAACAAGATGTACTATCAAGTTTTGTCTAAAACCTATTCCGAAGCCTTTTATGACTATCGGAAGTAGCCGATTTTGGGCAGTTTTGAGGTTTAAATCGTTCATAACTTTCGAGAAATGGCTATTCCGCAAAAACGGTTAGCATATTCGGAATCAGCGTAAAATTCTGCACAAGATAAGCTTGGTCCCGTGCCAAAGTCCCGACGACACTCAAAAACGTCTCCTTGTAAGCAAAATACAAAAAAACTGCAATTCCGGATTTTAGTATTTATCAAACCCAGTATTTTTTTCGGTCCTTCCACATTTATCTTGACTCGTTTTCACGTCCCATAAAACTCGCTCTCCCCGCTACAAAATTACGCAACTCCGAAAACGAGAGATTCCCCCTTCCCCACTAACCATTTACCCTCCGAACGAGTCGGACGATTAGGCTCCGTTCCTCATCCTCCTCACGCAATACTCACCCCACACCACAATCGACTACGCCCCGATGCCATAAAAAAGTGGTGAATGCGGTGGGAGTGGGTGTTGTTCACCCGTGGGAACCCAGCCCGGGGTCGAACCGTTTTTTGCGCGAGTTTCCCCCTCGGCTGACCCTGACCAAGCTGTTGCGCTTCCCCAAGAAAACCACTAGCAAAAAAGTGATGAAAAAAAGTGGAGGGAGAACGCGTGAGAGTCGTACTTTTCGAATTTTTTTACGCTGGTTTGGGGTACGGTAGCAGAAAAGTGCACAATCAAGCGAGTTAAGGTTAGTTTATGCTATTTTTGACGTTGTCAGGGACATGGTCAAAATCTAGCTCTTCCGATCCGAATTAGGGTTTAGGATAAGTTAGAATTAGGGATAACTTTCAAAAAAACAGGACTTCCAGTTTTTTAGCGATTTAGAGGCTGTTTAAAGGAGCGGGGAAGGCGAGAATAAAGCCACTAAACGCCTTGGAACCTTGTCAATAACATGTATGGTATGTATAGTCAATGTATGGAAGTAGTGCATTAATGATAACGTTCGGCGCTTGTTTTCAGCTAAATATTTTTTCCAAACCCCTCCTCGCCCAATTCCCTCCCTCAATCAATCGACTCCCAGGAGCGGCAAAAAATTTCCCTCAATTTCCTCGGGTGTTCCACGTAAAGGCGTTCCGAGGCGCCAGGCGTTCAAACACGACCCGCACCGGCGATCTCAATCTGGACACGGGTTGCGCAAGGAGGAGCAGCAGCACCTCCATTCCCCCCAAAAATCGTCTGTCAAACCCGAGGTGGGTGGATAAAAGGAATGAAGGAGAAGACAAGACACAGGGTGCTGCCATTTTGACTTGATGACTTTGCACTTTCGGGGAGGTTGGGACACAGATGGAGGTGTAGCAGAACACCACCCCTTTGACCTCTTTTAAGACTGGGGAGGGTAGTGAAGGTTCGGAACCTTGAAGAGGTGCCCTTTAGGCTGCGGATGACAGGAAATCAATGGGTGCACTTTTCGACAGCGAGTTTTTGGCGGATTCGAAATGGCCATTTGGGCTCTGGTAATTGACGTTTCAAAGATCTCGGCGAGTTAAAAATCTTGATTAAACAGACAAAAAATTACTAAAAAAATTGTCGATCCATGTACTAAAATATACCGGCTAACCAAGCGGAAACTGACGTATTCGATCTTGAAATTCGGAATTAGGATAAAAATCCAGCTCTAAACATTTTCGGAATCTTCTGGTCAATGATTGTGTTACGATACGTGATAGTACGTTATGCTATTACGGTGTCGTGATAGATATATACGGTATCTGGAAACTACGATTCAAAGGAAGCACGGTAGTGGTATCTGGAAATTGCTCAGCAGCGCAATGTAAAGTGCAAAAGGCAAAATGTTCAACGTAGGATAGGGTAATGTCACATAGCGTAGCGTAACCTAACGTAACGTAGCGTAGCGTAACGTCACCTGACGTGGCTTAAGGTTGCTCGGCTTAAAGCGCACATTCAGCTGGTTCCGTCTCGCTCTTTTCCCAGTCTCTCTGCGTAAATAGGTGTCTACGTCCAACCCGCTGAAGGGCGTTTTAATGTATGATGTCGTAGCATCTATGCGGACTACGGTACCTTTCAATGTGCACCATAATACTAAAAACATTTCCGGTCAACCCCCTTACGTCCAACCCGGTCACCATTTTTCGGCCACCATCCCCCATGGTCCCCCGTAGTGGTGTGTTTGGTGTATTTGTTGGTGGGTGTAGTGGGGGGTCCCACGACGACAAGAAAAATCCTGGACCAGCAGAAGAAGGAGAATACGGCCCTCGTGTTTTTCCTCTTCCTTCTCCCGGGCCGCAGCACCCCGGCACGTTTGCTTTTTGCGTTTTCGGACCGCTGGCCGGGCGCGGGGTTCAGCACCACTCCGGAATGCACCATTTTGGCTGGAGGTGTTTGCTGTCCCAGTGCCTTTAGCGTCGGATTCTAGGGGTTG